CTTCCTGCTGGCTGCCTCCCCGCCACTTCCTGGCAGAGCCCCAGTGAACACCATTGCCTCTGCTTAGTTGATCTCTCTCTCTCTCTCTCCTTCTCTCTCTCAGCGGCTGCCTGACCCTGCGACCACCCTTTGCTTCTGGGAATTCTCTTTGCTCCCAGCCTCTTTCTGTTGATTTTGCCTGTTTCTCTTCCCACTTATTTCTTCATTCATGTATTAGGACTTAGCACAATTATTATTAATCATTTTTCCAAAATGTTTTATTTAATATCCACATGCCTCTTGTACTGTGAATTCCAAGAAGGCAGAATCTGGGTCTTTCTCACACATCCTGGCACCTAGATTTTTGGTAAATAGGTGAATGGATGCATTTGTCCTCCCCTTCCTTGGCCTTTCCAGTCAGGCTGGCCGCCCATTCCCTGATTCCTGAGAACAAGCTGCAAACACAGAGCTCTACTTTGAACCAGTGACTGGGCTGTGGGCTGACCTGCCTTGTGGGCTTAACTCCCTCCCTCCTGCCTTTTTTTTTTTTTTTTTTTTTTTTTTAGACGGAGTTTCGCTCTTGTTACCCAGGCTGGAGTGCAATGGCGCGATCTCGGCTCACCGCAACCTCCGCCTCCTGGGCTCAGGCAATTCTCCTGCCTCAGCCTCCTGAGTAGCTGGGATTACAGGCATGTGCCACCATGCCCAGCTAATTTTTTTTGTATTTTTTTTTTTTTTTGAGATGGAGTTTCTCTCTTGTTGCCCAGGCTGGAGTGCAATGGCGCGATCTCAGCTCACCGCAACCTCCGCCTCCTCAGTTCAGGCAATTCTCCTGCCTCAGCCTCCTGAGTAGCTGGGATTACAGGCACGCGCCACCAGGCCCAGCTAATTTTTTGTATTTTTAGTAGAGACGGGGTTTCACCATGTTGACCAGGATGGTCTCGATCTCTTGACCTCGTGATCCACCCGCCTCAGCCTCCCAAAGTGCTGGGATTACAGGCTTGAGCCACCGCGCCCGGCTCCTTTTTTTTTTTAGAGACAGGGCCTTGCTTTGTCATCCAAGCTGAGTGCAATGGCTTGATCATAGCTCACTGCAGCCTCGAACTCCTGGGCTTAGCCTCAGCCTCATGAGTAGTTGGGACTGGGACTATAGCTGAGCAGTACCATGCCTGGCTAATTTTTATTTTTTTAATTAATTTTTTTTTTTTTTTTTTTTTTTTGAGACAGAGTTTCGCTCTTGTTACCCAGGCTGGAGTGCAATGGCGCGATCTCGGCTCACCGCAACCTCCGCCTCCTGGGTTCAGGCAATTCTCCTGCCTCAGCCTCCCGATTTTTAAATTAATTTTAATAATTTTTTTGAGATGATATCTAGCTCTGTAAGCCAGGCTGGAGTGCAATGGCACAGTCTCGGCTCACTGCAACCTCTGCCTCCTAGGTTCAAGTGATTCTCCTACCTCAGTCTCCTGAGTAGCTGCGATTACAGGTGTTCGCCACTATGCCTGGCTAATTTTTATAATTTTAGTAAAGACAGGGTTTCATTGTGTTGGCCAGGCTGATCTCAAACTCCTGACTTCATGATATGCCTGTCTTGGCCTCCCAAAGTGCTGGGATTAAAGGTGTAAGCCACCACACCTAGCCCTCTAGTTAATTTTTAAAAAACCTTGTAGGAATGGGGTCTCACTCTGTTGCCCACATTGGTCTCAAACTCCTAGGCTCAAGCATTCCCCCAGCCTTGGCCACCCAAGTAGCTGGGACTACAGACATATGCCACTATGCCCAGCTTATTTTTTATTTTATTTTTGTAGAAATGGGGGTCTCACTGTGTTGCCCAGGTCTTGAACTCCTGGGCTCAAGCAATCTGCCCACTCTGGCCTCCCAAAGTGCTGGGATTATAGGTGTGAGCCACCATGCCCCAACCTGCTTTTATTTTTATTTTTTTAAGATGGAGTCTCGCTCTGTCACCAGGCTGGAGTACAGTGACACGACCTCAGCTCACTGCACCCTCCGCCTCCCAGGCTCAAGTGATCCTCCTACCTCAGCCTCCTGAGTAGCTGGGACTACAGGCATGTGCCACCACGCCCAGGTAATTTTTGTATGTTTTGGTAGAGACAGGGTTTCACCATGTTGGCCAGGATGGTCTCAATCTCTTGACCTCGTGATCTACCAGCCTCGGCCTCTGAAAGTGCTGGGATTACAGGTTCGAGCCACCACTCCAGCCTCTTTTTTTTTTTTTTTTTTTTGAGATGGAGTTTTACTGTTGCCAAGGCTGGAATGTGGAGTGCAGTGGCACTATCTCGACTCACTGCAACCCTTGCCTCCCGAGTTCAGCCGATTCTCTTGCCTTAGCCTCCCAAGTAGCTGTCATTACAGGCACATGCCACCGTGCCCAGCTAATTTTTGTGTTTTTAGTAGACATGGGGTTTCCTTATGTTGGCCAGGCTGGTCTCGAACTCTTGACCTCAGGTGAACCACCTGCCCTGACCTCCCAAAGCATTGAGATTATAGGCATGAGCCACTGCACCCAGTCCCTATTATTTTCATTTATGCACATTCCCTTCTAGAATTGCTTGGTATGAAAGAAAAAAATTAATATTTTTTACAATCATGGTGCGTCACACAATCATGTATTCTACTTAAAAAAAAAAATTTTTTTTAAATTCTTGAATATTTAGTTTCCCATGCCACTACCAAGTCTCTTTGATATCATTTTAAAGAGCTACACAACACCCCCTTGCATTTTTCTTTTTTTTTTTTTTTTTGAGATGGAGTTTCGCTCTTGTTACCCAGGCTGGAGTGCAATGGCGCGATCTCGGCTCACCGCAACCTCCGCCTCCTGGGTTCAGGCAATTCTCCTGCCTCAGCCTCCTGAGTAGCTGGGATTACAGGCATGCGCCGCCATGCCCAGCTAATTTTTTGTATTTTTTAGTAGAGACGGGGTTTCACTATGTTGACCAGGATGGTCTCGATCTCTCGACCTCGTGATCCACCCGCCTCGGCCTCCCAAAGTGCTGGGATTACAAGTGTGAGCCACCGCACCCGGCACATTTTTCTTTTATTATTTTTGAGATAGAGTCTGGCTTTGTCACCCAGACTAGAGTGCAGTGGGGTGATCTCCGCTCACCACAACCTCTGCCTCCGAGGTTCAAGCAATTCTCCTGTCTCAGCCTCCCAAGTAGCTGGGATTACAGGCACCCACCACTATGCCTGGCTAATTTTTTTATTTTTAGTAGAGATGAAGTTTTACCCTGTTTGCCAGGCTGGTCTCACACTCCTGACCTCCTGATCTGCCCACCTTGGCCTTTCAAAGTGCTGGGATTAAAGCGTGAGCCACCGCACCTGGCCACTGCATTTTTCTTTTCCTTTTTCTTTTTTTTTTTTTTGAGACGAAGTTTCGCTCTTGTTACCCAGGCTGGAGTGCAATGGCGTGATCTCAGCTCACTGCAACGTCCGCCTCCTGGGTTCAGGCAATTCTCCTGCTTCAGCCTCCTGAGTAGCTGGGATTACAGGCATGCCCCACCATGCCCAGCTAATTTTTTGTATTTTTAGTAGAGACGGGGTTTCACCATATTGACCAGGATGGTCTTGATCTCTTGACCTCGTGATCCACCCGCCTCGGCCTCCCAAAGTGCTGGGATTACAGGTGTGAGCCACCGCGCCCAGCCTGCATTTTTCTTTTGTTTGCTTTTTTTCTTCTTTACAGCTTACCCTCCTACATTTCTTGGCTGTTGACTTTTATTGGTTGTTTCCCTCCCTGTTGATTTTACCCAAGCTCCTGGCGCGGCAGGGCTATGCTAGTTCTCACCAATTCTTTCCTCTTCCAGACTACACTTGACTCTTTTAAGCCTAACCTGTCCTCCCACCCCTGTGGGGGCTCTAGGGTCTCTTTTAGTAAACAAGGACAGGCTCTGCCCCACCACCTCACAGAGGCACAGAAGCACTGTTCAAATACACATGCCCACGACATTGCCACCCACAGACTAGGAACAAAGACACTTGAGTCTTAAGTCCTCTTGGAGACACAAGGTCTTCAAAGCTTGCCAGCAAATGTCAGTGATAATCGTATTCTTTGCCAGGACCTAGAGAAGGCACTTAGAAAATACCTGTGTAGAAGCAGCAGCAGGGGTGGTAGGATGCAGTAACCCAGCAGGCACTTCTAACTCCACTTTGATTCTAACACTTCTGCAGCTGCCAATATTTTTTTCTTAAGAGACAGGGTCTCTGGCTGGGTGCCGTGGCTTACACCTGTAATCCCAGCACTTTGGGAGGCTGAGGCAGATGGATCACCTGAGATCAGGGGTTTGAGACCAGCCTGGCCAACAGAGTGAAACCCCATCTACTAAAAATACAAAAATTAGCTGGGCATAGTGGCGTGAGCCAGTAATCCCAGTTACTTCGTGGCTGAGGCAGGAGAATCACTTGAACCTGGGACACAGAGGTTGCAGTGAGCCGAGATTGTGCCACTGCACTCCAGCCTGGGCAACAGAGCGAGACCCTGTCTAAAAAAAAAAAAAAGACAAGGTCTCACTCATTGCCCACGCTGGAGTGCAGTAGCATTATGGCTCACTGCAGCATCCAACTCCCAGGTGCACCCTCCAACTCCTGGGCTCAAGTGATCCTCCTGACTTGGCCTCCCAAGTAGCTAGGACTACAGGTGTGTACCACCACATCCACCTTATTTTTTATTTTCTGTAGGGATTGGGTCTTCCTATGTTTCACAGGCTGGAGTGGCTGCCAATGTTAATTAAACCTTGGGATCTCCTCAGAGGATTTAATTGGCACCAATTGGAAAGATTCCATCTGGTCCAGCAGGATCACGGTACAGATGGGAAAATGAGGCCCTGAGAGATGAGGCAGTAGGCCTAGGAACACCATTCTGGATGGCCCCTGAGCTGTTTTCAAAGCCCCCCTAAAAGAGTGCTTTCAAGATCTAAAACCAGAAAACAGTAGTTAGTTACTCAAGGGAGATGAATTTTGACGTGGCACTACATTCTGAAAAATTTGAAAAACTACCTTTGTCTTCTCAGATCCTTTAAACCAGGATTTTCACGTGAGGCCTGAACTCCAGTCCAGGTGGGTGGGAGGTAAGGATGACTAAGTGAAGGTGGGAGGGGCTGTATGAACAGGAATGGGTAAGGCCAGTAAATCCTGGGAACCTCCAACCCACCTTACTTCGCTACAGGGACAAGCACTGGGCCTGAGTTCAGGGAGGTCCCTGGCAAATGCCTCCAGGAGGAAACAGCCTTCCTGCTGCCTGTCAGGATAGCTGATCCTGGGCCTGATCTCAGCTAATTTCAGCAGCTGGAGGGGAGGACACCACCCCCGTATCTGTTCTGCATCTCAAATGCACCAAGAGAGCTGGCAAGGCAGAAGGATTGCTATTGATTTTCATTTGTGCAGGCTGACCTAACAAAACCAATCGGTCAAGTGCCTGTCTGCCTCTGCCTCAGACGCATCCTAAGCCCGTGCAAATAAATTGCACCAGCATCCAGGGTGATTTGTTCAAGGTCCAGCTAGGCATGGACCCTGGCTTCCGCCGACAGGACGGGACTCCAGGCTAGGCTGGGCTCAGGTTAGCCCAGTTCAATGCTCCGCTGTTGACTTGCCATTGACTGACACCACATGGGGTGGCCTGGGAATAGAGGGGCCTGGCGGCTGCTGCCACACCAGCAGCTGGGGGGCCATGCCTGGGAGGGACTTTGAGGAGCCAGGCCCCTACTCACTTTGACAGGGCTTGGCAGTGACATTCTTACTTGTTTATTTATTTTTAAAAAGAGACAGGGTTTCACCATGTTGGCCAGGCAGATCTCAAACTCCTGACCTCAAGTGATCCACCCACCTCAGCCTCCCAAAGTGCTGGGATTACAGGCCTGAGCCACTGCACCCGGCCCTTACTTGTTTCTTAAGGTTTCTGTCTGAACTTTTTTTTTTTTTGAGGTGGAGTTTCGCTCTTGTTACCCAGGCTGGAGTGCAATGGCAGCGATCTCGGCTCACCGCAACCTCCGCCTCCTGGGTTCAGGCAATTCTCCTGCCTCAGCCTCCTCAGTAGCTGGGATTACAGGCACGCTGCCACCATGCCCAGCTAATTTTTTGTATTTTTAGTAGAGACGGGGTTTCACCATGTTGACCAAGATGGTCTCGATCTCTTGACCTCGTGATCCACCCGCCTCGGCCTCCCAAAGTGCTGGGATTACAGGCTTGAGCCACCGCGCCCGGCCCTGTCTTAACTCTTGATTTGGGAGGATTTATTAGTGTAGATACAGCCACGAGGTGCTGAGTTTGAGTACTGCCTCTGCCACTGGGTCAGTGTCCTTGGGCCAGTTGTGAGATTGGAGATGATACCATTGTATGGGGGTCTAGAGTCCTATAAAGGCCAGGGTTCAGACTAAGTGTCCAATCCCCATTCTGCCACCTCCTAGCTGTGGCCTGGGCAGGCACCTTCAGCCTCGGTGCCTCACTTTCCTCATTTAGTACGTACTAGGGGGCTGCAAATGGTACCTACCTCCTATGGTGGAGCTGTCAGAACTGAATGAGAAAATGGAAAGGACCCCAGGGGCTCACCCTAAGGAGCCCTTCATTCCATAAGCAAGGACTGGAGGCACAGAGAAGGGGGTGATATTCTCAGGGCCACACAGCAAGGCAGGGCAGCATTAGGGGGTTTATGGGAGCCATAAGCAGGAGAGGCTGACAGAGCACAGTGACCAGCCTGCCCTCCACCTGGCAGCTGTCCCTCAAGAATGAGACACAGGGAGTGTGGTTCATGGGCATATCTTCATTTGAAAGGGTCAAAAATTTTATTTGCAGGCCTTTTTCTGTTTTTGAATATACAGGTTTCCTGCTGTCCAGGGTAAAGGGGAAGTAGTATCTTGTTGCCCGAGGTTTGGGGTGCTTGCCTTGGGGCTCCATCCCCATCCCTTTCCCACCAGCGCAGCTGGGGGTAGGCGCCTGCTTGCCGGCCCCATGGATTCTTCCATTGTGGGATAAGGCACTGTGTGTTCTGCAGGAAGGCGCTCGTGGCTGGCTGGTAGATGAGACGGCCTTCTGAGGGCCTGCAAAGCTGAGGCTGTTGAGGGGTTGAGTTGATCTTGGGGCCCTGGCAGGGGGCCACCTGGTAAGGAGGCCCCAGGTGATGGGAGCACGGCCTGGAGAGTCTGGCGCCACTGCCTCCCCGCTGGCCCTACACCAGCCCTCAGGATGGGATCATGCCTTTGCTCCTCTTTCGGTCGGCCATGGTTCTCCGGTTGTGGTTGGCTCTTGTTGCCTTGTTGGCTTCCTTCTTCCTGCGTTCCTGAGTTGTCTCGCGGCTCTGCCCATGGCCCCGGGGACTGCCGGCCACTGCTGTTGAGCTGTCATGCCGGTACCTGAGGGGGGAACAACCCACCCCACAAGAACCTGTCAGGTGGAAGAGGCTCTGGTGGGGAAAGCCCACAGCCTGCGTTGGTGTTCACTGGGAGAGGACACACAGACTGGGCTAGGTCACCCATGTCCCAACTTCAGATGGAAGGAGAAATGGAGCCTGGCAGGGCTATGGGGCTCTGGCCAGCCCCAAGCCTAGTGTTTTCTCTTCTCTGGGCCTTGCTTCCAGGTGCGCCCATCACTCTGTGTAGTGGAGGAAAAGCTGGAGGGCTGACGCAGCCCATGGAAAATGGGGAGGGCTTTGGTCGGGTCTCCTCCTTTCTCCATCTGGGGCCACATGCTGCAGCTGAGATAATACTCCTGTTTTCTACCCTAGGTCCTTGCCTGGTGACCTCCAAGGACCAAGTGCACTCACAGATGTAACCTGGGCCCTTTCAGACCATCTCAACCCCTGGGATTCCAGAGCTCTGCACTCAGGGGGCTGGGATGGATGAGAAGTCAGGGTTGCCCTGTTCCCAACAACCTTCTATGGCTCCCCACTGCCTTCAGAATGAAACCCAAATGCCTTCCCTGCCTTCTGCATCCAGTAGACAGTGTGGCATGAAGCCCAGGGCTGGGATGGGGGAGTGGGTTTCTCCTGGCCTGCCCTTAGGTAGAGGCAGATCCTTGGACTTTCTGGATGTTTCCTCGATGGGAAGATGTAGGGCCTGGATGAGGAGTCTCTGGCTACTGATCTCAGCTCCCCTCAAAGATCCCTCTTCTGACCATGTCTGCTTTATTACCTTTCTGCCCTCATATGACAAACTCCTCTGTGCCCTTTTTACCCTTAGGGACCCAGCTCAAGTGCTTCCATACCCCTATCAGCCAGAAAGGATGTGTGTGTGTCTGAGCCCTCTCACATTTACATTCTGCCTGGTGTCAGCTACCCCTGGACGCGTTGGGTGATAAATCCCCTCCTGTGTTTATCAAGTCATGGTTATGAGTGGGGACCCTGGAGCTGAGCTATCTTGGCCCCATCTTTGCTCCATCACCTACTAGCTGTGTGACATTTGGCTGATTACTTAATGTCTCTGGGCCTGAGTTTTTTCATCTGTCAAATGAGGATAGTGATAATGGTAGCTACTTCCATGGTTGTCGTGAGAACTAGATTAATACACATGGAGCACTTAGGGTGTATGTGTGGGTTTCCTGGATGGCTGGCCTTGCCTTCCCTGGATGGTGGGAAGGGTCCCCTCAGAAGCAGCCCCTTGAATGCTCACCCTTTCTTGGCGAGAAAGGCCATGCGCCTGGCTTCTGCCTTCTCTCTCAGCACTGCAGGGTCCTGCACGAAATGGTCAGGCTGTGGAAGGGAGAGGAGACCAAATCTGGAGTCAGGACCTGGCCCTGAAAACACCTGAATTTGTCATCCTGATGTGGGGCATGAGGGATCCCAGGCTGCTGCCCCTATCACCTGAGCAGGTATGTTGAGATTCTGTATGTTGAGGTTCTAGTTAAGACTTCATTCAAATAAAAAGTTTAGCTACTAGAAAGTAGAATTTTCAAAGCTACTGGTTCCAGGTGACTTCCCAGGGCCCTTGGGCTCTCTAACACCTCTCTGATTTTAAGGATTGCCATCCTGGGCACGGTGCTGGTAACTGCCCTTCTCCCGACCCCTGGCTCCTAGGGCCTAATAATGAAGCTGGCAGCTCAGAGGCCCTGCCTTTAATCTGTCCCCTGGGCCCTCGCTAGTGGGCAGCAGAAGTGAGTTCTAAGCCAGGAGCTCTCCAAGCAGACATCCTGGGCTCAAAGGGACTCCTCCTGTCCCTGCCAGTGATGCTGAGGCTGCCTCAGGGCCAGATGCAAGGATGGGTGAGGGGCACTTCTGATTCACCCTTCAGAACTGCACTCCCCTCTTCATCTGCCATCTGCCAGGGAGGTACCTTGGGAGCCTCCTCGTCAGCCTCCTCTTCCTCGTCGTCGTCCTCCTCCTCCTGCCCTTCTCTAGGCACTTTGTTTCTCAGCACCTGAGGGATGGTGAATGGCCTGAAGGTGTGGAGAGAAAGTGAAATCAAAGAAGAGCTAGAGCCGCAAGGGGAGGGAACCTGGCTGGGTGAGGGGGCCACGAGGAGGGCTCATGAGGCTGGGAGAAACCAAAGGGGTTTCAAGCCAGCTTTGCTCCAGCTCCTGCATTCTCTGGGTTAACAGAATTTGAGGTGGAGGTTGAGGGGGAGGCTGAGATGGGGCCATGAGGGATCTCCAGGCCTTTCTTTAGTCAGGACAGTTCTGCTTTGACCTGTATTGGAGAATCATTACACGATTCCACCTGGAAATGTTTTCTTCAATTAAGAAAAATGTTGCTTATAGCCATTACTGGAAATAGTGGAAAAAAAAAAAAAAAAGAAAAATGGACTGAGCGCAGTGGCTCACGCCTGTAATACCAACACTTGGGGAGTTTGAGGTAGAGGGATCACTTGAGCCCAGGAGGTTGAGACTGGTCTGGGCAACATAGTGAGACTCCCACCTCTGCAAAAAATAAAAGCTAGCCGGGTGTGGTGGTGCATACCACACCTGTAGTCCCAGCTACTCAGGAGGCTGAAGTGGGAGGATCACTTGTAGTCCAAGAGGTCAAGGCTGCAGTGAGCCATGATTGCACTCCAGCCTGGGTGACAGAGTGAAAATCTGTCTCAAAAAAGAGAAAAAGAGGCCGGGCACGGTGGCTCACGCCTGTAATCCCAGCACTTTGGGAGGCTGAGGTGGGTGGATCACCTGAGGTCAGGAGTTCAAGACCAGCCTGATCAAAATGGTGAAACCTTGTTTCTACTAAAAATAAAAAAGTAGCTGGGTGTGGTAGCATGTACCTATAGTCCCAGCTACTTAGGAGGCTGAGGCAGCAGAATCGCTTGAACCTGGGAGGTGGACATTGTAGTGAGCCAACATCTTGCCACTGCAGTCCAGCCTGGGTGACAGAGTGAGACTCCCATCTCAAAAAAAAAAGAGAGAAAAAAAAATGCAAAGCTACTGCGTGACACCGAATAAATGCTGTCCCATTCAAGGTGGGCTGGGGTGGAGGAGCACTGGATTAGGAGTCAGGAGGACTGGGTTTGGGCCCTGATTCTGCCAGTGACTTGCTCATCTATGTAAACAAGAGGGTGAGGGAGCCCCACAGGCCTAAAAGCTGCTCTGTTCTGGAATGCCACCCGCCCTATGGCCTCACCTGCGGCTGATGAGCTCGTCGTCTGAGTCTGCATCGTTGGCGCCCACCTGGTTGCCATCGTATGTGTCATCATACTCATCCTCATAGTAAACATTGTAGGGCAGGCTCTCGCCTGGCTGCAGTAGCACCTGCAATGGCAGAAGCATGGGTTGGAGGGACTCAGGGGCTGTCCTGGTCTCCCCAGCCCAGCAGAGGCCCAGCTTTGGTGGCCTACCTCTTCCACCACCACGCCGTACTGCTCATAGCGCTGCCGCTGCGCCGCCACTGTGCGCTTGTCATTCAGCAAACTCCGTGTGTTCTCCTCCTTCCTGGTGCTGAGAGGGAACAGCAGAGAGAAAGGAAAACCATCAGGCTTGGAACTTACTGCAGGGTATGGAGGGTCCAGAGACCACAGGCTCACTGCTCTACCCCTCAGAATGGCACAGAGACAAATGAAATCAAGCATTGGTGAGGGTATGGGAGGGTGAAACTCTCACTGCTGCTGGTGCCCATGGGGATGGCTCCAGCCACTTTAGAGAACATCCCAAGGGCCACTGTTTTTTTTAGAGGAATTCTTGCTGTCGCCCAGGTTGGAGTACAGTGGCCTGATCTTGGCTCACTGCAACCTCCACCTCTCAGGTTCAAGCGATTCTCCTGCCTCAGCCTCCCGAGTAGCTGGGACTACAGGCATGCACCATCATGCCTGGCAAATTTTTGTATTTTTAGTAGAGACAGGGTTTCACCATGTTGGCTAGGCTGGCCTCAAACTCCTGATCTCAAGTGATCTGCCCACCTTGGCTTCCCAAAGTGTTGAAATTACAGGCATGAGCCACCACACCCAGCCGAGAGCCACTGTTAAAAGGTAAACTGGGGCTGGGCATGGTGGCAGGCACCTGTAATCCCAGCTACTCAGGAGGCTGAGGCAGAGAACTGCTTGAACCCAGGAGGCAGAGGTTGCAGTGAGCAGAGATCGTGCTACTGCACTCCAGCCTGGGCGACAGAGAGACTCTGTCTCAAAAAAAGAAAGAAAAAAAAAAAGTAAAATGTGCTCACCTTTTGATCAGGATATTCCCTGTCAAGGCATCTACCCTAAAGAGATGCTGGCTGTGTGTAGAGGTCTGATTAAAGATTTTCTTTTCAGCATTGTTTGCAACAGTGAAAAATGGAAAGCAACTAATGTCCATCATGAGTGAAACAGCCAAATGAACTGTGCCACATCCCACATCTGTATTACAGATCGCTGTGTGGTAGCTGCCAGGAAAGACAGTGATCTATTTGTGCTGATGCGGAAAGAATTCTTTTATTCCCGAGGAAAAAAAGCAAACCACACTAACTCTTCTGTGACCACACACCTATGCATGACAATGCAGAGAGGCTAGTAAGCCCCACACCAAATGACGATGGTTACTGCTTGGAAGCACCTGAAGTTGTCTAAATCTTTTTTTTTTTTTTTTTTTTTTTTTTTTTTTTATTTGCTACAGGCTAGAATGCAGTGGTAGGATCTGGGCTCACTGCAACCTCTGCCTCCTGGGCTCAAGCAATTTTCGTGCCTCAGCCTCCTCAATAGCTGGGAGTACAGGTGCATGCCACCATACCCAGGTAATTTTTGGATTTTTTCATAGAGATGGGTTATCTGCCATTTTAGCTAGGCTGGTCTGAAACTCCTCGCCTCAAGTGATCTGCCTGCCTCAACCTCCCAAAATGGTAGAATTACAGGCATGAGCCACTGCGCCTGGCCTAAATTTAAATTTTTTGTAGAGACAGGGTGTCACCATATTGCCTAGACTGGTCTTGAACTCCTGGGCTCAAGTGATCCTCTACTTTGGCCTCCCAAAGTGCTAGGATTACAGGTGTGAGCTACTGTGCCCAGCCTGGATCTCTTAAACAAAAATTTTTTTCATTTAAAATTTTTTATTTATTGTTTTTTCCAAAATGACCTTTCCTTGCCAACAAACAAAAATTTAAGAAGCAGCAAGGCCACATGTTAATTTTTTTTTTTTTTTTTGAGATGGAGTTTCGCTCTTGTAACCCAGGCTGGAGGGCAATGGCGCGATCTCGGCTCACCGCAACCTCCGCCTCCTGGGTTCAGGCAATTCTCCTGCCTCAGCCTCCTGAGTAGCTGGGATTACAGGCACACGCCACCATGCCCAGCTAATATTTGTATTTTTAGTAGAGACGGGGTTTCACTATGTTAACCAGGATTGTCTTGATCTCTTGACCTCATGATCCACCCGCCTTGGTATCCCAAAGTGCTGGGATTACAGGCTTGAGCCACCGCACCCGGCCGTGACTTTCTTACTGAGCTCAAGGGAGCCCTAGGGACCTTTGGGGTACAAGAAAAGGGGGGGCCCAGTACTCTTCCTATCACTCCCACCTCACCACACTGGCCTTCTGTCTTTTTCACAGCTCAAGTTCCCATGTAAAATTTCACTAGAAGAATAATAGTTTGGAAGACTAACTCCTGTCATGTCACAGGTGAGGACACTCGGGTGCACTGGAGGTGGGAAAGGAGATGTTTGGGTCACAGTGAGCTGCAGCACAGCCACAAGAGGGAATGAGGGCTCTCAACCTGTGGCTTTGCAAACCTGTGAAAAAACCTGGCTTGTCAGAAACACACCCTGGCCCGTGGAATGTAGCTTCTAGCGCTGCTGGGGAAAATCAATATGAGACGCCAGGCAAGAAAATCCAGCTTAGCTGTGAAATCGGGTCTCTGGAATGTATCAAGGGTAAGATAAAAAGAAGAGACACAAAGCCAAACACAGCTTCCATAAAAATCTTCTATTAACTGGCTTTTGGTGCAGGGAGGGGCAGGCATCTGAGTCCATCTCAGTCTGTTGGGCTGTCTGCCTGGCAGCCCAGGGCAGGTCAGGACTGCAGCCTCCAGCGTGGCGGGCTAGGGTTTGCCTTCCTTCAAGTCTTTATTAAGGACCCGCTCTGTGCCAGGCAGGATATGAGGCTGAGTTGGGGAAGAGATTCAGAAATAAAGAAAATATAGATCTGCCCTCATGAACTCAGTGTAGTAGGGGCGACAGACCAGCCAACACAAAATGTGCTCAACAGAGGCCTTGGAAAAAAAGGAATGAACTTGGTTCAGGAGGTCTGGTGGGGTATCTGTAGGAAGGGGTAATGGAGGCTCCACTGTAGGGGGCTACTTGATTGGACCAGGCGCCTTAGAGTATAGCAGGAGGGATGGTGTACTTGATTTAGACCAGGGAGAAATTTCGGTTCAAAGAAATCTTTCACATCCACCAGAGAAGGGGCCTGTGACTGGGACCTTGGCCCTGTACCTGGCTTTCTTTGCTAAGTGGGAGGTAGAGAGGAAGTAAAAGGGGCCCAAGCTTGTTCAGGTGGTAGGTGCCACTGGTAGGAGCACACCCATGCACTGGACACATTTCCTAAGAGCCTAAGAGGCCTAGGACCTGTACTGGGCCAGGAGATGGAGGATGAATGAGAGGCCTAACCATCCTTTCTGCTACATCTTCAACCTTTGGTCCATCCTATCCTTGGTTCTGCACAGTGGGGCAGTTCTTTTGTGCTGTGTGGCCCCTGATTATGTGGCTCCCTGGCAGAGCCAGGCCTGGCAAGCTCCACCCACCCTATCTGTGCCCTGGGAGAAGACACACGTAGGGACAGCGAAGCCTGGGCACCTGGGCAGCCTGTCCAGGGAGGTGCAACCTTGTACCCATGACCTCACGTACAGCCAGGAAGGAAAAAGAAAAATCAGGAGAGGCCGGGTGCGGTGGCTCATGCCTGTAATCCTAGCACTCTGGGAGGCCGAGGCAGATGGATCACCTGAGGTCGGGAGTTCAAGACCAACCTGACCAACATGGTGAAACCCTGTCTTTAAAAAGAAAAAAATAAAAGAAAAAAAGAAAAATCAGGAGAAAAGCCAGCCGGGAGAAGATCCATCAGAGGCCAGAACTTCAGTCTGGCCTGGAAACACAGGCAACGCTGGCTGCAGAGACTCTGTGGAGGAGGTAGCTTCCTTGGCCTCCAAGATGGAAGCAAGCCCAGGGAATTTGCAGGCTTCCCTGAAACCTTGCCACCTCTCCCTTGCTCATCTCTTGAAGCCTGTCCTTCAAGGCCCAATTCAAACTGGTCCTTAGCAGGGTGTCTTCTGCCTTTGGACTTCTAAAGAGCCTGCAGAAGCAGAAGACCCCTCCTTTTTCAGGTGAAGAATCAGGGGATCCGGAGAGACAGAGCAACCCTTTTTTTTTTTTTTTTTTTTTTGAGACAGAGTTTCGCTCTTGTTACCCAGGCTGGAGTGCAATGGCGCCATCTCGGCTCACCGCAACCTCCGCCTCCTGGGTTCAAGCAATTCTCCTGCCTCAGCCTCCTGAGTAGCTGGGATTACAGGCACGTGCCACCATGCCCAGCTAATTTTTTGTATTTTTAGTAGAGACGGGGTTTCACCATGTTGACCAGGATGGTCTCGATCTCTCGACCTCGTGATCCACCCGCCTCGGCCTCCCAAAGTGCTGGGATTACAGGCTTGAGCCACCGCACCCGGCAAGAGCAACCCTCTTAAGGTCACACAGCTACTAACAGCAGACCCAGGGCCAAACACAGGTCTCCTGACTCAAGTCTGCTTTGCCATTTCCTGCAAGTCCCTTATCCTCACTAAGTCTCAGTTCCTTCTCTCGGCACCCACTTCCTGGGGCTGATGCAAGAAAGAAATAAGATGACGTGTAGAAGCAGATCCAGCACTTGCTGGGCTCCACAAAGTGAATCCTGTTTCTTTTACTACAGGACTTTTCAGAGCCTTATGTGCTCTGTGACTCCCCAAAAGGCTAGACCAAGGGCACAGACATTTTTAAAATTTTTAATTTTTTGAGGGGGGACGGACGGAGTTTTGCTCTTGTTGCCTAGACTGCAGTGCAATGGAGTGATCTTGGCTCACCATGACCTCCGCCTCCTGGGTTCAATCACTTCTCCTGCCTCAGCCTCCTGAGTAGCTGGGATTACAGATGCCCAATACCATGCCCAGCTAATTTTTTGTATTTTTAGTAGAGACAGGGTTTCACCATGTTGACCAGGCTGGTTTTGAACTCCTGACCTCAGGTGATCTACTCACCTTGGCTTCCCAAAGTGCAGGGATTACAGGCGTGAGCCAGGCCAACCAGCCAGCATAGACATTTTTAGAATACTATGTTATCTTCCAGGGCACTGTGGAACGGTCCTAAAGGCATTAGGGGACCCTGCCTCTTGCCCACTGCCTCCTTCACTGGCTATGATATTCCTGCAGCACATGTATTGATGTCTCCCCACAGCCGTGCTGCACCTCACCCACGTTCCAAACAGACCCTGCATTTTCTTCAGGTCTTTCCACCTTTCCACTTCACACTGGCGCTCCAGGCCTGGACCCTGTAACTCAGTTTTCCTGATGAGATATGAGGGATATTGGAGACTTCTGGGAAAGGTATCTTAGTCTCTAGGAGAGACACAGGATAACCTGGTCTGGACTATCTCCTGGCACTGTTATGTCTGGAAGCCATAGCAGAAACAGCTGCAACCCCGCCTGCAGCTTCCAAGGAACTAGCCTGACCATCACATGAGGCCCCAAGAGATAGGAAAGATACATCCTGGATGATAGGTCAACCAAGCCTAGACTGCCCTACCTTATAGTGCCCTGTCATGCAAAGGAACAGATTTTCTTACTACTGAATCCACTGAGTGCAGTCTATCTGATTCAACAACACACACATTTTAATTCCAGTACCATCTGCAGTGTCCTGCCTAATTTCTCATGTGCTTGACAGCTGTCCTCTAAGCATAACTAGAACATGTGTCCCTGCTGAAGTTCCTGTGTACCCCACCCCAGCACCTGCCACTCTGTCCTTACTTGTTTAATGGTCTTTCTCATGATCTCTGTGCTATTTGAGGGCAAGGCCTGGGTATCCAGCTCACCCTGTTTCCCTGGTGTCTAGCATAGGATCTGGTGCTAGTAAATCGCTTAGTAAATATTTGCTGAATGAATAAATAATGAACACATGAATGGAGGCTTTGCCTCTCTGCAATCTGTGGCCCCTGGGCTACCCAGCACAGTGAGTTTCTCCACATGCCAGCCCAGAGGGCCCCAGGAGCAAGGGCACAGCGCTCTGGAAACCTGGCTACCTCAATGCCAGCCACTCTGCTGACCCTGACAGCTGGGACCAGCCCCTTGGCAAATGCTCGTAGGTGACTTATAACCTGGGTGGGGTGAGATGAGACCTTACAATACCATGAGTCCTGGGCAAAACCACAGATCAAAGTGAAAGGCCATGCCCAGAGATGCCTAATCTCTGTGGGGAACCTACCACCAATCAGGCTCTCTGGATTGGAGCAGGGGGCCAGCCTTCTCCCAGCCTGAAGGACCCCTTGTCTACCCCTTGCCCACCGTTAGAGCTATAGAGGGCCATGCTGGCCTGGAATAGCGGCCAATGATCCAGGATAACATCTTTGGTCTGGGATCTGGGGATGTCGCAATGATGTCGGATAACATCTCTAGTCTGGGATCTGGGGATGTCGCAAT